CATGTAATTAATTCCAGTTCTAGGGGATTTGACCCCCCTCTTCTTGCCTCTGAGGGCACCAGCACGCAAACAGTGTAAGTGTAAGCAAAGCACTCATGCACATAAACCAAAAATAAATTTGAGATAGAAAATAGATGAGAGGGCTGGAGAGATGGCTCAGTGGTTAAAAGCACTTACTGCACTTCCAGAGGTCCTGAGTTCAAATCCCAGCAACCACATGGTGGCTCACAACCATCTGTAATGAGATCTGATGCCCTCTTCTGGTGTGTCTGAAGACAGCTACAGTGTATTCATATATAATAAATAAATAAATCTTTAAAAAAAAAAAAAAGAAAGAAAGAAAATAGATGAGAGTATGAGAACTAGCCCGGCAGCAGTAGCGCACGCCTTTAATCCCAGCACTTGGGAGGCAGAGGCAGGTAGATTTCTGAGTTCGAGGCCAGCCTGGTCTACAGAGTGAGTTCCAGGACAGCCAGGGCTACACAGAGAAACCCTGTCTCAAAAACAGCAACAACAAAAACAAAACAAAAACAAGAAAAAAGAATTCACAAGTTGAACTTCCTCAAAATAATTTCCACTCATCAAAAAATGGTGTTAAGTAAGTGGAAAGACAAGTTGCCTGTGGGGAACTCATCCTCAACCTGGGTGTCTGGCAGAGACACAGAATTGTGTATCAGACTGTGCTGGTTAGGGTTTTGTTTTTTTTTTTGTTTTGTTTTGTTTTGTTTTGTTTTTTGGGTTTTTTTTGTCAGTAAACTAGAGTCATATGGGAAGTGGGACCCTTAGTTGAGAAAATGCCTCCATCAGATTGGTGGGTAGACAAGTGTAGCAGTCTGAATGAGAATGGCCCCCACTTATTTTGAATATGTGGTCCTCAGTTGGTTGTTTGGAAAGGATTAGATGTGTGGCCTTGCTGGAGGGTGTATGCTACTGGGGGTGGGTATTGAAGTTTCAAAAGCCTGGACCAGTCCAGTCTCTCTGCCTGCTACTTTTGAACCAGATGTGATCTCTCAGCTACTCCAGTGCCATCTCTGCCTGCTTGCCTGCCACCATGCCACCTGCTGTGAAGGTCATAGACTTTAACCCTCTACAACTGTAAGCCCTCAAGAAACTAGTATAAATTGCCTTGGTTATTGTGTCTTACCACACCAATAGAAAAGTAAGTAAGACTATAGGACATTTTCTTCATGATTGATGTGAGGGCCCAGCCCATTGTGGGGAGTGCAGCCTTTGACAGATAGTCCTAGGATGTATAAAGAAATAAAGGCAACCCAAGAGAGTCATTCATCCATGGTCTCCGCTTCAGTTCCTAATTCCAGGTTCCTGCCTTGAATTCCTTCTCTGACTTCCCTCAACGATGGACGATGGACTGTAAACTGTAAGAAGAAATAAACATGGGGCTGGAGAGATGGCTCAGCGGTTAAGAGCACTGACTGCTCTTCCAGAGGTCCTGAGTTCAAGTCCCAGCAACCACATGGTGGCTCACAACCATCCGTAATGAGATTGGATGCCCTATTCTGGTGTGTCGGAAGACAGCGACAGTGTACTCATAAATAAAATAAATAAATAAATCTTTAAAAAAAAAACATTTTCCACCCCAAGTTTCTTTTGGTCATGGTGTTTATCACAGCAATAGAAAGCTACGACATAAACCTGACTTTACAAAATGGACTTTTAAAAACAATTTTTTTGTGTCTATGGGTATGTACATGCATGGGTGTCGGTGCCCAAGAAGTTGAGGAGGCATCAGAGCCTCAAGTTAGTCAGTTGTGAGCTGCCCAAAGTATGTTTTGGGAACTCAGTTAGCGTCCTTTACAAGAGCAGTACCAACTCTTAGGTCCAAAAAGGATTCTCAAACAGAAGCTGTCCAAATGTTCAACAAAAGTATGAAAAGGTAGCATTACTACAGGACAAAGAAATGTGAAACAATAGGAAGTGATGTCATCGCACAGCCACAGAAAAGCTAAGCGTAAAGACCAGCAGTGTGAGTCCTGTGAGGCACGGAGCAACTGTAGTCCTCATACAGTGCTGGTATAGCATAAAACGGGCCAGCCAGGCTGAAAACTGTTCAGTAGTTTCTTAAAAAGAATGGTGCTGCCAGGCAGTGGTGGTGCACGCCTTTAATCCCAGCACTTGGGAGGCAGAGGCAGGCGGATTTCTGAATTCGAGAGTTAGAGGCTAGCCTGGTCTACAGAGTGAGTTCCAGAAAGAATGGTGCTATCTGGGCATGGTGGCACATGCCTGGCATCCTAGCATTTGTGACCGGTAGAGGCAGGAGAATTGTTGAATTAGAGAACACTGACTACATAAGACTTTCTCACAACACAGTCTTAACCTATGAACCAAAAATTACACTCTGAATGTCTTGAGAGAAATTGGTCTACATAAAGGCTTGGGTAAAAATGTTAATGCAAATACTAGCCTGATCGAATTTGCACAAATTAGAAACAACTCAAGGATTCATTAAGAGAATAAATGTAAAGGGATTGGAGATAGCCTGCCACACAAACATGAAGCCCCGAGTTTGGATCCCTAGCACCCATATAAAAGTGGGCACTGGGTCCCAAGTCTGTAACCCCACCACTGTGGGGCTGCTAGGGATAGTCATCTCGTTGAGTTCAGTGACCTTCCAGTGTAGGCAGAATGAGTTCCCGGTTCAGTAAGGAACCCTATCTCAAAATGCAGGTGGAGAAACAACCATGGAGAAAGACAGAAAGACACTCATCATTGAACTCTGACATACACACACACACACACACACACACACACACAGAGAGAGAGAGAGAGAGAGAGAGAGAGAGAGAGAGAGAGAGAGAGAGAGAGAGAGAGA